AAATTTACTTTTTCCAGCCTCTTATTGCTACTTGTCCCAACTTTTTTGGGATTTGTTGACACCGTGAAATTTTGAATCACCATATTTTTCCCTTAAAATGATACATTTTCTCAGTTTAAACTTTAGTTCCGTGATTTATGTTCTATTCTGAATAAAATATTGACATTTGCCATCTCCACATCATTGCATTCAGTTTTTATTCACAATTTGTTTAGTGTCCCAACTTTTTTGGAATCCGGTTTGTACCTTGCTGGCATGATGATACAAAGAACATCTGTAGCATTTAACCTTTATGGGTTACAGGCTTTGTTGGCCATTTTTTGTGTCTACTATGTCAGCATAGTGGGTCCAAAAACATGCAAAGAAAATCAAAATCCGATTTAGAAAATGATTTATGATTTATATCATTATAGATAGTGGACTAAATAAATACTCACCAATCAATCATAATATTAAAACCACTGACAAGTGGATAATATTTTCATTATACTGCTGTATTTATCGTGGGCAAACCCTTCCCTCCCCACTCAGTAAAATTTATCATGGGGGAATTTAATCGTGTCACTTCATCCTAGTCAGTGCTGATACATGAAAGAACGAGCACAGATCTGGTGAACCTAATTGTCAGGGTGCGTGGAGCGGGCAAGCGGAGAAGCAGGCAAGCAGAGACGGTGATGCGGGTAAACAGGGGTTTTACTGAGCAGGGTAAGGCAGACATCCACGAACAACAGGACAACGCAATGACGGATCTGACGAGACATACTCAGACGTGGACTAAATACATGAAACAAGCCGAAATAACAGGTAACAGGTGATCACAATCGGGGATTAACACGAGGTAACGAGGTGGGCGTGGCACACACAAGGATCAGACGGAGCTGGACATGACAGAACCCCTCCCCAAAGGCGTGCACTCCGGGTGCGCCTCAGGGGAGGCGACGGACGAGACAAGGACCTTGAAAACAAGAGCAAAAACATCAACGAGGGACCGGGAACAGAACAGAAACACAAAACAAGCAAAGGGGCAAAAACCAAGACAAAACCTGACAAAGGACGGGGAACGCGGACAGACAGACTGGGAAGGGAGACACCGGGGGAACACCGACAGGCGGAACAAAAGGGCCAGGAGTGAACGAAGGAACCAGAGGGGGACGAGGAGCAGAGACAGGAGGTACAAAGGGACGAGGAGGGAACGGAGGAGACACAGAGGGAGGAGGAGCAGAGACAGGAGGCAGAAAGGGAAAGGGAGGAGGAACCAGGGGAGCCCAAGGGAAACCCAGGGGGCGAAAGGCGGCAGCAGGAGGAGCCGCGGGCGACCAAGCGGCCGAAGTCGGAGGGCCCCCGGGCGACCACGAGGTAGGAGCCGGAGGGGACAATGACGGGGCAGAGGAGGTAACCGGAGGGACCAACGGAGGGGCAGAGAAGGAAGCTGGAGGGGGCACCAGCGAAGGCAAGGAGGGAGCAGAGGGGGACACGGCGAAGGCAAGGAGGGAGGGTAAGCCGCAACAGGCGACTGCACAGCCACAGCAGGCGGAGGCGCCGTCCACCGATGAGCCAGAGCGGGGAGACCTGCAGGCGAGCAACGAGTCGGAGTGGGGGAACCCGCAGGCGGCCGCCGAGGCGTCGGAGGTGGGACCACAGGTGGCCGACGAGGCGACGACGGGGGACCCGCAGGCGACCGCCGAGCAGGAGCCCGGGGGACCGCAGGCGAGCCGGGGGGCAGGGCGGGCGGGACCCGACCCCTGCGCCTATGTCCTCTCCCTTTCCGGGACACCGACAAGGTGGGGTTCCAGTCGGGCTTGACCGCGCTTGGGCGAGGGAAGAGGAGTCATTAGGGAGGTCCCCGAGGGGTCCCACTCGAGCTCCTCCTCTTCCAAGGAGGAAGGAGCGGTGGTTGGTCTGTCTGGGACCTCCTCGGGGACTGGGACCAGGGCTGGAGTTAGGGCCTCCAGTGAGGCAGCAGGCGTGGCTGCAGGCGGTGCAGCCAGGGCCGTGGGCGGTGCAGCCAGAGCCGCAGTCAGGACGGGCGAGCCGGACAGGACAGGAGAGCCGGGCTAGACGGGCAGGACAGGAGAGCCGGGCTAGACGGGCAGGACAGGAGAGCCGGGCTGGACGGGCGCTGCCGCGGGAAGAGTGGCGGCATCAGGAGGTGCCGTGGGAAGAGCGGCGGCCTCAAGAGGTGCTGCGGACCTGCGGCCAGCAGGGGGTGCCTCGGCGGGTGCCGCGGACATGCAGCCAGAGCGGCGGCAGCTGCAGCAGGTGGTGCAGCCAGAGCTGCGGGCAGGATGGGAACAGGCGGGTCTGGAGCAGGCGGGACCAACGAGCAGGGCTGGACAGGCAGAGCGGCGGCCTCAGACAGGGCCGCGGGCAGAGCGGCGGCCTCAGGCAGGGCCGTGGGCGTGTGACCAGCAAGGGGCGCCTCGGCGGGCACCGCAGTCACATGACCAGCAGGGGGCGCCTCTGCGGGCACCTCGGGCGTGCGGCCAGGAGGGGGCGCCGCCGTCACGCGACCAGCAGGGGGTGCCTCTGCGGGCACCTCGGGCGTGCGGCCAGGAGGGGGCGCCTCGGCGGGCGCTGCCGTCACGTGGCCAGCAGGGGGCGCCTCGGC